CAAAACTTACGAGATGCAGCTAGAGTAGTAGTGCTTAGAGGGAAATTTATAGTCATAAGTGCCAGTATTAAGAAAGAAGAATGATCTCAAATCAAGAACCTAATCTTCCATCTCAAGACACTGGAAAAAAATGAGCCAACCAAACGTAAAGCAAGCAGGAGGAAGAAAATAATGAAAATAAGAGTGGAAATGAGTTAATAGAGAATAGAAAAACCATAGATGAAATCATTTCAACTAAAGGCTGGTTCTTTGAAAAGATCAACAAAATTGATGAACCTTTAGCTAGATTGAACCAGAAAAAAAAGAGAGAAGACTCAGATTACTAGAATCAGAAATGAAAGAGGGGACATTACTACTGATCTTACAGAAATAAAAAAGGATTATAATGGAATATTATGACTAATTGTATGCCAGTAAATTAGGTACCTTAGATGAAGTGGACAATTCCTAGAAAGATATAAACTACCAAAACTAACTCAAGAAGAAATAGGAAATCTGAATGGATCTATCAAATATTTAAAGAACTGACACCTATTCTTCACAAACTCTTCTAAAAAAACAGAAGAGGAGAGAATACTTCTAAACTCATTCTGTGAAGCCATTATTACCCTGAGAGGAAAACTAGGCAAAGACATCACAAGAAAAGAAAATACAGACCAATATCTCTTATGAATATGGATGTGCAAAAATCCACAAAAAAACCCTAGTGAACTGAATCCAGCAATGTATAAAAAGAATTATGTACCATGACCTAATAGGATTTATTCCAGGAATGCACGGTTGGTTTAATATCTGAAAATCAATTAATGTAATACACCATATCATTCAAATAAAAAACAAAACCCCTATGATTACCTCAGTAGATGTGGAAAAAGCATTTGGCAAAATCCAGAACGTTTTCATGATAAAAACACTCTAGGAATTCAAGGAAATTTCCTCAACCTGATAAAAGACATCTGTGAAACACCCACAGCCAACCTCATATTTAATAATGAAAGACTGGATGCTTTCCCTTAAGATCAGGAACAAGACAAGGACTTCTGCTCTTGCCACTTCTATTCAGTATTATACTGAAGGTTCTAGCAAGGGCAACCGGGCAAGAAAAAAATTAAAAGGCATACATAACCTATATGTCTACATGGAATAGAATTGAGAGTGTCTATGGTCAGCTGATTTTTAAAAAATTTATTTATTTTATATTTATTTTTGGCTGCATTGGGTCTTCGTTGCTGTGCGTGGGCTTTCTCTAGTCGTGGTGCGTGGGAGGCTACTCTTCATTGCAGTGTGTGGGCTTCTTATTGCGGTGGTTTCTCTTGTTGCGGAGCACGGGCTCTAGGCATATGGGCTTCAGTTGTTGTGGCTCACGGACTCTAGACCACAGGCTCAGTACTTGTGGCACACGGGCTTAGTTGCTCCATGGCATGTGCGATCTTCCCGGACCAGGGCTCAAACCCGTGTCTCCTGCATTGGCAGGCAGATTCTTAACCACTGCACCACCAGGGAAGCCCATCAATTGGTTTTTGACAAGGATGCTAAGACCATTCAATGGAGGGAAAAGTCTATGGCACAACATATGGTACCATGACAACTGGATAGCCACATACAAAGAATAAAGTTGGACCCCTACACCATGTGTAAAAATTAACTCAAGGGACTTCCCTGGTGGTCCACTTGTTAAGAATCCATCTTGCAATGCAGTGGACGCCAGTTCGATCCCTGGTCAGGGAACTAAGATCCAACATGCTGTGGGGCAGCTGAGCCTGCGTGCCACAACTAGAGAGCCTGAGTGCCACAACTACAGAGCCCATGCACTCTGGAGCCCACAACTAGAGAGGAGTCTGTGCGCCACAACTAGAGAGAAGCCCATGCGCCACAACAAGGAGCTGGCGTACCACAGGGAAAATCTCACGTGCCGCAGCTAAGACTCGATGCAGCCAAAAAATAAATAATATTTTAAAAATTAACTCAAAGTAGGTCATAGACCTAAATGTAAGAACTAAAACTATAAAACTCTTAGAAGAAAACATAGGATAAATCTTCATTTCTTTAGATTTGGCAATGGTTTCCTAGATAAGACGCCAAAAGCACAACCAACAGAATAAAAAATAGACAAATTGGACTTCGTCAAAATTAAGAACTTTTATAATTCAAGGGACACGATCAAGAAAATGAAAAGGAAGAAAATGCTTGCAAATCAGATATCAGAAAAGGGAATGTAAAATGGTGCAGCTTCTTTGGAAAACAAATGCCAGTTTTTAAAATTGTTAGAGTTAACTGTATGACCCAGCAATTCCGCTTCTAGGTATATAGCCAAGAGAACTGAAAACATATGTCCACATAAAATGTTATTCATGAATGTTTATAGCATCATTATTCATAATAGCCAAAAAGTGGCAACAATCCAAATGCCCAGAATGGATAAGCAAAATGTGATATTTGTATACAATGGAATATTTTTTGGCTACAAAAAGGAATGAAGCTCTGATACATGCTACAACATAGCTGAACCTCAAAAACATGCTAAGTGAAAGAAGCCAGTTACCAGATATCACATATTATATGATTCCATTTATATGAAATACCCAGAGTAGGCAAATCTATAGAGACAGAGAGTAGATTAGTGGTGGTGTAGTGCTGTGGGAATGGCAGATAGGAGGGTATAGCTAAAGGGAACAGTGCTTCTTGTTCAGGTTTTGAAATGTTCTAAAATTGGTTGTGGTGATGATCACACATACCTCTATGGATATACTAAAAATCATTGACTTCGACAATTTAAAATGAGCGAATTGTATGGTAGTGAATTATATCTCAATAAAGCTGTTAATACAAATAATAATATCAATGTTATGACTAACAGTTCCCTAATGGATGCAGTTTAGGTTTCTTTGCAGTTCATCTGGTCTTTAGAATATATTCCACTAAGTGTGTACAGTCAAAGTAAGATGATTCAAAAGTCATTAGAAATAATTCTTTTTTCTCTATGGTTATGTTACCAATTTGATGTTTAGTTATCTCATCAGTTGATTTTTCCTGTAGTAAAAAACAACTCCAAGAGTTGCGGCTTACAACAATGAATATTTCTTGTTTTGTTCTGTGATGTCGCTGCAGGGGCTCATCTCCAGGTTCTGGGTTGGGTTCAGGTTTGTTCATGTGTCTTGTTCTGGGACTCAGGCTGAAATGACAGCTCCTATATGGGATATGCTAGCCCATGGTGGAGGGCAGGAGTGCAAATGGGTTCCTAGAATTTGCATTAATTCCTAAATCCTTTGTTTAAAACTGGCATGCTGTCACTTAGCCATATTTGTTTGTTTTGCATACAAGTTTAAATTACATTTAAAAAATATGTGAATTTATACCTGTTCCTCCAATTCAATTCATATTAAGTATAATATGAGATAAAGTTATCAGTTGAAAAATGAGGGGGTAGGATAAGAGGATACTGGAGATTTGAGGGGACAAGAAGGTGAAATAGTTGTTCTGTGAGTGGGATGAACATACTGAGGAAGTGTGGTGTAGTTGCTAGGCAGTGCTGAGTGTCTGCTTGTGTGAAACCAGAGAGCTTGTGTTTCTCTACACCAATATTTAGGTGAAGTACAGATGTGGAACCAGTGGATAATTGGGTTTAAACTGGGTTAGGTTTTTGCACGTGAGAACATCCGAGGGAAAGAGTGGTAAGGGATTTAAGGTGTTGAGAAGCTGAGTAAGGAAGGAGTGAGGATAGGGTGGGTGGAGAGGTAGTAAAAATGTGTGGGGTACTTCGGAGGATCAGTAGAAAAGGACAGAAACCAAGGAAGTTCTGGGGATTTAGGTGTTAGTTCACCACTGCTGGAGTGAGTCAGCTTCAACTCTGGTCTTTTCACCTCTTTAATTAAGATTCAAATTCTTGGTAGAGAGAAATCAATTAATTAGTCAAATACCACTTAACCGGGGGAAGCAGGGGGATTAGTCAGGGGAATTTGCCTGATTGAGAAATTTGGTTGTTAGGATCTGAAGTTGCTAGTTTCTATATTGCTCTAGTTGCTGTATTATGTAAGGGAGATGTTACTTGCCCAGCTTGTATAATGTCATGTGGAATAATTGCATGCTTTGAAAACAAAGTATTATGAAACTGGTAAGTAGTGCAGTTAAGCTCAGATGGTGATAATTAAATTCTCAGAGACTACAACTGCCAGTGAATTTCTTTGTGAAACGATATTTGAAGATTTGAATATCCTCTTTAAGCTTAAAATTAAACTATAAAGCTCAGAGCAAAATAACTCAACTTATGGGATGACAAATGTATATATTAAAACAGCCTGAAAAGTTTTGAGTTGATCTAGTTTCTTATCAGAGTGTATTGGCTTATTGAAAATGATGACACTAACTTTTTGAGGTGAAATGAAAGCTGTAGAGATTAATGCCATAGCTAGATTTTCTCCTTGGAGTGGTAATTATTCTATGTAATTCCTGATCCCGAATTAGTTGTGGGCTGCCAGCAGAAACCTTAGCCATAGCAGAAAGTACAGGAATATGAAAAAACTAGGGTGTGGCCAGGCAAAGAAGTTGAGTATTGAAGGTGTATGCATTTTAAGTAAAGTTTAGTATTAAAATATTACTTCAAGTTTCAAAGTTGTTGAGATAGGTATTATACTACTCTTCTTAACAATGGCAAAGAACTACAATTGTGCTGCACTAATTAAATTAGTTAGTGATGGCTTAGTGATTGGAGAGGGATAAAGGAATTGAATGTCTCTGGTTTTGCTAATTAACTTGACATAGTAGACATATCATTTGTTATAATTGTCATAATGCACAAGAATAGTTAATATTTGCTTTGTTCTAGGGCAAGTGATTGACCATGTATCTGCATCAATTTTAATAATGAGTGATTTTAGAGTGGGGTTCCATTGCTTTTTGTCTATTGCCTATTTTTTTTCGATACTTATACCTGCCTCTATCAACTTTTCAGAATGATGTAAGGATGTTAGTAAAAGTGAATCTGTTTTCCTTTTTGTCCTTAGGAGCAGCCACCATATCCTAGCTACAATTCCAACTATTGGAATTCTCCTGCCCGACCTCGGGCTCCTTACCCAAGTACTTATCCTGTAAGACCGGAAATGCAAGGCCAGGTAGGGTCTAAAATTGACAGACTTTCTGAATTTTTTCTTAATGAATCGATTTATTTTCAGAACCTGTGGAGATTTCATAGTGAAGGTGTGTGGGCTTTTGTTATATAATGCACTCTATCTTAATCAATTTAATGTTTTTAGCTCAGAGATAAGGAAATATCTAGGCAGATACTACCTATAGCAAAGGTAGCTTGATGCATGATAGATTATTTCTCAGGACCTGGAAACAACGAACGCAAAATGTACTTATTTCTAAAAATTTGACCTTTTATGGAGTTATAATTGACATATAACATTATATTAGTTTCAGGTGTACAGTGTAAAGGTTCAATATTTGTATACTTTCCAAAATGATCGCCACAGAAGTCTAGTTAACATCTGTCACCATACAGTTACAAAGTTTTGTTTTCTTGTGATGAAAACTTTTAAGATATACTCTCTTAGTAATTTTCAAATATTACAGTACAATATGTTAACTATAGTTACCAAGCTGTACATTACATCCTATGATTTACTTATTTTATAGCTGGAAATTTGTACCTTTTGACCCTCTTTACCCGTTCCTGCACCCCAGCCCACTGCTCCACCTCTGGCAACCACCAGTCTGTTTTCTGTATCTGAGTTGGCTTTTTTTGTTTTTTTTAGATTCCACATATAAATGAGATCTTATGGTATTTGTCTGTGGCTGACATTTCATTTAGCATAATGCCCTCAAGGTCCATCCATGTTGTCCCAATGGCAAGATTTCCTTCTCTTTTATGGTTGAATAATACTCCATTGTGTGTATATATATATATATATATATATATATATATATCACATTATCTTCATCCATTCATCCAGCGATGGACACTTAGGGTGTTTCCATGTCTTCGCTGTTGTAAAATAGTGCCGCAGTGAACATGGGGTGCAGATATCTTTTCGAGTTAGTGTTTTTGTTTCCCGTGAATATATTCCCAGAAGTGGAATTGCTGGATCATATGATAATTCTGTTTTTAATTTTTTGAGGCACCTCCATACTGTTTATCACAGTAGCTGTACCAGTTTCCATTCCCATCAACAGTACACAAGGGTTTCCTTTTCTCAACATTCTCATCCAATACTTATTTCTTGTCTTTTTGAGAATAGCCATTCTAACCGGTGTGAGGTCGTATGTCATTGTGGTTTTGATTTGCACTTCCTGATGATTAGTGATGTTGAGCACCTTTTCATGTACCCGTTGGCCATCTTGTATGTCTTTGGAAAAATGTCTATTCAGATCCGCTGCCCATTTTTTAAATCAGATTGTTTGATTTTTTGCTATTGAGTTGTATGAGTTCTTTATATATTAACTCCTTACCTTATCAGATATATGATTTGCAGGTATTTTCTTCCATTCAGTAGGTTGCCTTTCTTTCTTTTTTTTATTTTTTAAATTTACTTATTTAATAAATTTTTTTTTGGCTGCGTTGGGTCTTCGTTGCTGGCTGCGGACTTTCTCTACTTGCGGTGAGCGAGGGCTACTCTTCGTTGCAGTGTGTGGGCTACTCTTCGTTGCAGTGTGTGGGCTACTCTTCATTGCAGTGTGCAGGCTTCTCATTGCGGTGGCTTCTCTAGGCGCGTGGGCTCAGTAGTTGTGGCTCACGGGCTCTAGAGCACAGGCTCGGTAGTTGTGGCGCACGGGCTTAGTTGCTCTGTGGCATGTGGGATCTTCCCGGACCAGGGCTCGAACCCGTGTCCCCTGCATTGGCAGGTGGATTCTTAACCATTGCGCCGCCAGGGAAGCCCTGGCTTTCCTTTTGTTGATGGTTTCCTTTGCTGTGTAGAAAATTTTTAGTTTGATGTAATCCCACTTTTTAATTTTGCTTTTGTTTTGTTGCCTTTGCTTTTGTTGTTAAAAATTTTGACTTCTTATGACAAATATTAAATTTAAAATATTTCAAGCATTCTGAAAGAGTACAGAAAATATGTACATCTTTTTTTATCTAGCTCCTAGCTTTGTCAGTTTTTAAGTTTCAGATTTTTAAAAAGAAGTAAAATACAGTTGAAGCCCCATATAATACCTCTTTCCATTTCTTAAAGTTATATTAATTGTCTCATATGTGTTTTTATGCTTTTACTACTTGTATATGCATTTTTATAGTATTATTTAACATGATTTTAAACGATATGAGTGGTTTCATACTAGCATTCTCCTGCAACTTGCTTTTCTTTAACTCAACATTGTTTTTCTCTTTTCTATTGTACAACATATGAGATGAGCATTTCCCTCGTGTATGGAATTGGTGGGTTTGGATACGTACATCTTTATTTAATATAGCCAAATTACTTTTCACAGTGGTTGCCAATGAGGAAATGAACTTTTCAATTTCAGCACAAAAGGCAGCTGGGATTTTCATTGAGATTGCATATAGATCAATTTGGAGAGTAGCAGGCATTACTTTTACAGTTAATGTAAGAGGAAGACAGAACCCAAAGTCATGAGTCACAGTTTTTCTCAGCAATGTTAATCTGTCTGATTTCATCAGTTGTTCCTATTGATAAAGATTATTTTTGGGGACTTCCCTGGTGGCGCAGTGGTTAAGAATCCGTCTGCCAATGCAGGGACACGGGTTCGAGCCCTGGTCTGGGAAGATCCCACATGCTGCAGAGCAACTAAGCCCGTGCGCCACAACTACCGAGCCTGCGCTCTAGAGCCCGTGAGCCACAACTACTGAGCCCACGCGCCACAACTACTGAAGCCCACGCTCCTAGAGCCCATGCTCCGCAACAATAGAAGCCACTGCAATGAGAAGCCCGCGCCCTACAACGAAGAGTAGCCCCTGCTTGCCTCAACTAGAGAAAAGCCCACACGCAGCAACGAAGACCCAACACAGCCAAAAAAAAAAAGGGAGTCAACATATTTTTTTTAAAAAAGATTATTTTTGGAGATGACATTTCTCCCCCTTAGATAAAGGCATTTATTACATGTGTATATTACATATATTCAAGAAAGATTCACTTTTAATTTAGTGATGACTTTTTGAAAGCAACAGCAATAATCTGAGAGAGCTTTTAGATACAAAAATTGTTGGATTCTGGGCTTCCCTGGTGGCGCAGTGGTTGAGAGTCCGCCTGCCGATGCAGGGGACATGGGTTCGTGCCCCGGTCCGGGAAGATCCCACATGCCGCGGAGTGGCTGGGCCCGTGAGCCATGGCCGCTGAGCCTGCGCGTCCGGAGCCTCTGCTCCGCAATGGGAAAGGCCACAATAGTGAGAGGCCCGCGTACCGCAAAAAAAAAAAAAAAAAAAAAATTGTTGGATTCTAAACCCAAAGGCATCTAGACATATGCTTGTATGGGATTAGCACACGTGTATTTTCTGGTGAAGCATCACATGGGGATTATACATTTATCTTCTGACAAAAATGGACTCCTGTAGTGGTATGTAGATATGACTGGTTTCCTTTTTTAAAAATCGAATGGTTTCACTCCTTTGCCTTCTATCTGCCGCCTCATGTTAGCTTTGCCACATGATCAGTCTTCTCTTATAAACCGGGAGTGCGTAATTTCATGCACTTTCCCCCGGTAATGTGGAATTTATATCCGTTTCTTCAGAATTGATGAATGTTGGGAGGGCCCCTGAGCAGTCCCCAAAGCTGATTAGCCTGTTGTGTTCAGGTGCAGTCTATGTGCTACGCAGGAACAGGGGACAGTCTTTGAAATACGGCTTTCCTCATTTTCAGCTAATAGTAAGGATTGTTGAGGAGCATGTCGGACGGTCTGTGGAGCAGGTTTAGGCAGTATGAAGTAAACCAGCTCAGGACAAGAGATTTGGGCTCACCAGACTGTTGATGAAATTCATGAGGTATTTTCTGAGTTCTTCAAACTAAGATTGCTTCTTATTTGCTTTTAACGCTTTCATTTGCATCAAGGACTGTCTTCTGAAGGCCCAGTAGTATTTTCTTTCTCTTTGGCCTCTGTATCAGGGCTTTGAAGCTGGGCCAAGAACTCCTTTATTTTCTTTGCTATGCTGCCAGGCTACTCTTCAGAAGACTTAAAAACTTTGAACAGTTCTGAACTATGATCATAAGCTCATCCTTAGTCAACGTCTGTAGCAACTGCAAGGCTAACATATGTTCTTCCGACGCTGATCGTTTGTAAACATGCATGTTGTAGCTCTGATCCATTGACCCAGTGGGTACTTGGGAAAAGCATGATAAATACACAGCTTCTCTAGTAATGATTGTGGTGGGGTGTTTTTGTTTAAAATCCTCTCATTGGTCATGAATGCAACTTGTTTTTCTAAAGCTTCTTTTCCACGTATCTAAAGGATGAAAGACGGATGTTTTCGCATTGATTTTCTGATAAAGAAGCTAATTCTCTTGGGTTCTGGGAGATCACACCACAGAACACTGAGTGCCTGGGAATAGAAATGCTCTAAGAAACAAAACTGAAGTCCTCTTATAATGTTCTGAATTGAGAAATCATGATACAGAAGGACTTTCATCAGAACCTATAACACCTTTTCATTTAACTTAAAGGGGACCTGGGTTGTAAAATACAGCTTATTAAGTACTGTGGTTTGGAGCTCCTATGAGACAAAAATTGGAATAGTTCTATAAGGAGAGATACTGCATGAGGAAGTAACCAGTGGATGATAGTAGATTTGGCAATTCCAGAAACGAGTATTAGTAGAAACTCAAGTTGATGTCGACTGCTGATAATTATGAAGTCTTGGAGTACTTTTGTGGTGAAGCCTTCCATGTTTTTCAAGATAAGCACAGCAGGAAGAATTGTGGTGTTGCTAATGGAAAAAAAGGTTTTTTTCCCACTTGGATTGGGTCTGTTTGCTGTTTGATATTCATGTATCAAATGGAAAGGGAACCGTTGAACAAGTGTATCACTTTCTGAGTGAGAGACCTGATCAGTTTTCTCCTCTTTGGATTCTACATCTATAAACAGTCCGTCAATTGTAAAACCAACTTTTGGAAGAAGTGTTACCTCCTGGATAATCTTTAGCTTTTGCAATGAGACATCATATGATGTGACATGATTTTGACTTTTAAATGCTAAGTCATATTTACATTTACCCCTAGAACAAGAACAGCACTTGGGATATTTTTTGAGTTTTAAGAACTCCAGTCTCTTGATTTCTTCTGGAATCCAGAATGAGACTTCTACAGAAATTCAATGACTATCAAAGATTTTGTTTAATTCTTCTTGCAGTTGCTCAGTTTCAGATTTTCTGTTGCCATGTCAGCTGACAAGTTTCAAATCACAGCTTGCTATCCTTAGATACAAGTTTCCCTTCATGAAAGTAGTCTACTTGGACATAGATGAAGTAGCTATGGTCCAAGCAGCCCACCAGTTTCTAGACATACTTGGGATTTCATGACTTTTTTTTTTTTTTTTGGCTGCACCTCACTGCATGCTGGATCTTACTTCCCCGACCAGGGATCGAACCCGTCATGACATTTTTTTTTTGCGGTACACGGGCCTCTCACTGTTGTGGCCTCTCCCATTGCGGAGCACAGGCTCCGGACGCGCAGGCTCAGCGGCCATGGCTCACGGGCCCAGCCACTCTGCGGCATGTGGGATCTTCCCAGACCGGGGCACGAACCTGTGTCTCCTGCATTGGCAGGCGGACTCCCGACCACTGCGCCACCAAGGAAGCCCAACCCGTCATGACATTTTTAATAGCATATTTTTTTTAATATAAAATACAACTTTATTACTAAACATTTGGGAGATAAAAGGGAGAAAAAACACTAATTCTGTCATCCTAATATATCCATATTTTGGTAAATTTGTTTTCAGCCTTTCCCCTATCATATTTACACAGCTTTACATTTGTCTTTTAATATGACAACTCATTTTACATATGCCTTTTAATATGACTTTTCATTTATCGTATGTACTTTACATGTTATAGGGTGAAATAACAGAAACTTTTTTTTAATAGTAAGGAAATTTTCAAACATAATCCAAAGTAACGAGAATAGTGCAATAATCTCCCATGTACCCATTACTCAGCTTCAACAGGTATCAATACATGGCCATCATGTTTCATTTATATATCCTTAGAGTATTTTGAAGCAAATTCCAGACATCATGTTATGTCTTTTGTAAATACTTAAGCATGTATCTTTAAGATATAAGGAAGTTTTAAAGATATTACCGCAATGCCATTATTAAAACTTAAAGGAAAAAAACCCCAAATAATTCTTTGATATCATTAGATGTCTGGTCAGTTCTAACAGTGAGTTTTTTAAAATTAATTAATTAATTTTATTATTTATTTTTTTGGCTGCGTTGGGTCTTCGTTGCTGTGCGCGGGCTTTCTCTAGTTGTGGTGAGTGCGGGCTACTCTTCGTTAAGATGCGTGGGCTTCTCTTGTTGTGGAGCACAGGCTCTAGGCACGCGGGCTTCAGTAGTTGTGGCTCGCGGGGTCTAGAGGGCAGGCTCTGTAGTTGTGGCGCATGCGCTTAGTTGCTCCGCGGCATGTGGGATCTTCCTGGACCAGGGCTCAAACCCGTGTCCCCTGCATTGGCAGGCGGATTCTTAACCACTGCGCCACCAGGGAAGTCCCTAACAGTGAGCTTTTAAGACAGAATAAAATTTCCTCAATGAATAACCCGTAGTCTACTTAATCATTCCATCAGTACAGGACGGTTAGGTTGTTTATAATTCTGCGTGATGGTGAATCATGCTGTGATGAACAAATTCATGCCTATAATTTTTTCTCTAGTTGAATAATTTCCTTAGGAAGGATTTCTAGAATTTGAATAACAGTACAAAAAGTCGCATGATTTTTTTTTTAATCTTAAGTCTTCAGCTGTATATGTTACATAAGGGATTGTTTGGTTAGGCACAGCAGCCTGTAGGCAGAAGACTTGATTAGCCTCACAGTGGCTGCTCAAGGAATGCCTGGCTGGATTTTCCCTCACCCCTGTCCCTGCAACGGAATTCTTTGGCCGTGTGGTGATAGTAGCCTGTCTTTTATCCTCTTGCCATAAAACTGTGGCTAAGAATTTATTTTCCACAAAATTATGCCCTCCTTCCCACTTCAATCTATCCCTCTTTTTGTTGTGGTAGATTTGGCATCAAATTTAAATTTCATTTTCTTCAGTCATTAACAACTGTAGAAGATATCAGGATTCTTTTTTTTTTAATTGAGGTATAATTGACGTATAATGTTAGTTTCAGATGTACAGCATAATGATTCGATATTTGTATACACTGTGAAATGATCACCATGATAAGTCTAGTTAATATCACAAGATTCTTATTCTTCTACCTAAAATGGGAAAGATTGTCTAGTTTTAGAAGGATGAGTCCAGGAAAACTTGATTCTGTTTTTACCATTTTAACAAGGTAAAGTAGAAATGAATAGAAAATGCTAAGGTAATCGTTTAGAGTTTAGCTTTAATCTTGTTTGGATTACTAAACTGAGGGTTCTGGGTGTCAGTGATAGTCTGGATAGGTGGCGTAGAACTGCAGTAAGCAGTATATGAGGAATCTGTCTGCTGTCATCATTTGGGGAAGCAGAGTAGGATAGTATCAATACAAAGCACATGGGCTTGGAGTCAGATCTGGGTTCGTTTCCTGACCTTGCCACATTAATACTAACGACAGTTTGTATTATAAAAATTGCAAATCATTGAGCATACTACGTGCCAGACACTATACACTTATATATATATAAGCATTTTATATATGTCATCTCATTAATTTTTACAATAACCCTGCAAGATATGTTTATGATTTCCATTTTCCTGCTGGAGAAACTAAAGCTCAGAGAGGGTAAACACAAAGCCAATGGCAGGGCTAGGTCTTTCTCTGTGGTCTTTTTTTCTTTCTGTTGTATTATGGTTACTTTCTTCTTTCTCTCGCCATTCTCCCAGGTTTCCCGGAACACCCTCTTCAGTTTGTGGGGACAAGTTCCCTGCCGTTAGGTGCAATTGTTAGGTGCACTTATGGAAATGGCTGAGAAGCACTAAAGGCCATCACTTCATCCTTCATCACAATATACCCATTGTTATGACAAAGACTCTAAGGTGATAATCTGAGTTTAATATATGTATATGATTATAATATATGAAAGAATACCTCAACGGTTGCTTAGGTAGTTCATATTTTCATTAGTTACTGATCTCCTTTCTTCTCAAAGTTTTCGAAGTGAGGGCATTTCAGCTCATCTACTCATTCATGTTTTTTTTCTCCCAACTTTGCTTTTTTATAGAGTTTGAATTCTTATACAAATGGAGCATATGGCCCACCATACCCCACTGGCCCTGGGACAAATACTGCCCCATACCCAGGGGCTTATTACACATCCGGGTATGCTCAGACCAATTACTCCACAGAGGTTCCAAGCACTTACCGTTCACCTGGCAACAGCCCAACCCCAGTCTCTCGTTGGATGTATCCCCAGCAGGACTGCCAGACTGAAGCAGCCCCTCTTAGGGGGCAGGTTCCAGGATATCCTGCTTCACAGGTGAGCATTCATCTGTTGTGTTTTTATTTTTTCATATTAATGAATGGTACCAAGTTTTTTTTTCTGTTCACTTCAAGAGGTTAGGTTTTTTGGGGTTTTTTAAAAATAAATATATTTATTTATGGCTGCGTTGGGTTTTTGTTGCTGCGTGTGGGCTTTTCTCTAGTTGCTGAGAGCGGGGGCTACTCTTCGTTGCGGTGCGTGGGCTTCTCATTGCGGTGGCTTCTCTTGTTGCGGAACACGGGCTCTAGGCACGTGGGCTTCAGTAGATGTGGCACGCGGGCTCAGTAGTTGTGGCTCGCGGGCTCTAGAGCACAGGCTCAGTAGTTGTGGTGCAGGGGCTTAGTTGCTCCGCAGCATGCGGGATCTTCCTGGACCAGGGCTCGAACCCGTGTCCCCTGCATTGGCAGGTGGATTCTTAACCACTGTGCCACCAGGGAAGCCCAAAAGGTTAGGTTTATATTTTTTAATATTCTATGAATGATCCCATGTTTATTTCTCTGTTCACTTCAAGGAGAGTTCTAGTATGTCTTTATTTGTGCTTCTTTATAGCATATGGGTCCATTTATTTATAGTATCTGTGGGACAGACTTATGCTGTGCTTCAGCCACTGAAGTTTAGGCCCTATTTTTCTGAGTTTGATGGTCACCAAATCTGCCCCTGATATCTTTGGAACCAAGCTTTTTTAGGTTTGGAGAAAATATTTGCAACTCATTAGAAATACTACAGTTTAGTCCCATAGCAGCTAAAATATACCCTGTTAAGCCAAGAGGAAGCATCTCTGAATCTGTTTACACTAGAATATTTTCATTACTTCTTTAAGTGTTTTTTAGCAATGACCAGTGTATTTCCTTCCTCTCAATCTAGAACCCTGGAATGAGCGTGCCCCATTATCCTTATGGGGATGGTAATCGTAGTGTTCCACAACCAGGACCAACTGTACGATCCCAGGGGGACTCCTGGGCTCCTCCGGGTGCTTATGGCATGGGAGCCCGTTACCCCTGGCCTTCAGCTGCCCCCTCAGCACCACCTGGGAGTCTCTACATGAGTGAGAGCGCTTCATCATGGCCGAGCAGTGGCTCTCCTCGGCCACCTCCTTCCCCCCCAGCCCCACAGCCCAAGGTAGGAGGCTTCTAGACGTTGTCCTCTTAATGTCTGGGTAATTAAGAGAGCACAGCGTGGAACTTTTTCTGCATTGGTCTGTGTTAAATGGGGACTAACTTCAAAATGTTGGTGGCTACTACCTGTAGCTTTACCTAGCCCAGTTTACTTTTTATTTAAAATAGACTTTATTTTTTAGAGCAGTTTTAGGTTCATTCCTTGTTTTAAACGACAGGAGAATGCTCATTTACTAAATTCGTTGTAATACCATTGGTATGTTAGACAAAATCAAAGATTAGATTTTATTACCTCAGTCTCCTGACAGAAGACAAAACCAATGTGAAATTGCATGGTTTTATGAAACCACACACTTGAACATCATTTGCTTGTGGCCAGGTTCCTTTTTAAGATTTGTCTTCAGGTTTTATCTCTTTAGGGGAAAAAACTATCTAATTCCTATTTATTAAGTCACTGGACAGATTGTGAGGTGGTAAGGATAGATTATGAGGTGTTCACGATGATGACCTGTCTCAGGGTAGATTCCAGCCTTTATACTCAGGAGTTCTCTGCCTTTTATCTTTTTAGGGCTGTATTCTTCTCAAATGATTAAGGAGGGCCGTCCACTTGTATGGGTGGGGAGTCTTTTCATGTACCTTCCTGGTCAGGTGAAAGATGTGGGCTAACAAATCTGACGTTGATGGATCCCCATTAAAACAGCTTTTTTCCCCTCTTTGCTCTCCTACTCCAAGGATTCCTCATACCCCTATAGCCAATCAGATCAAGGCATGAACCGGCACAACTTTCCTTGCAGTGTCCATGTCCATCAGTACGAGTCCTCGGGAGCAGTGAACAATGATAATTCAGAGCTCTTGGATTCCCAAGTCCAATATACTGCTGAGCCTCAGCTGTATGGTAATGCCACCAGCGAGCATCCCAGCAATCAAGGTCAGAGTCATAATCTTCCTGAAGAGTGTTTATCTTCAGATGAAGGGGCTCCCCCAAGTATTAAAAAAATCATACATGTGCTGGAGAAGGTCCAGTATCTTGAGCAAGAAGTAGAAGAGTTCGTAGGAAAAAAGACAGACAAAGCATACTGGCTTTTGGAAGAAATGCTAACCAAGGAACTTTTGGAACTGGATTCAGTTGAAACTGGGGGCCAGGACTCTGTCCGGCAGGCCAGGAAAGAGGCTGTTTGTAAAATCCAGGCCATACTGGAAAAATTGGAAAAAAAAGGATTATGAAGGGATTTAGAACAAAGGGGAAGCCTGTTACTAACTTGACCAAAGAACTCTTGATTTTGGTTAATTACCCTCTTTTTGAAATGCCTGTTGAGGAGAAGAAGCAATACATTCCAACTTTCCTTTGATATAAAACTTGAAAAACTGGTAAAGGACTTGGAAGAACGGTTGGGTTATGAGTTGTTTTCAGTTTTCAGACCAATGAATGTAATAGGAAGCTATGGAGTTATCAGTATTGCCAAGTAGACTCACCCCTTAAGAAATTTATGGGTATCTGCAAGCTGCTTCTTATCAGCAGGAGGGAAATCCACCTTATGTAACAGGCTTATCAGAAACCTACCGGATAAGACTGGATGTTGTCTGAGACAAACAGGCTCTGTTTTTTTAAACATCTGGATTACTTGTCACATTTTTGTACATTGTGACTGCTTTCACCATACACTTTGTGTGTAAATTATAGCTTGGACTTTAGCCTTCTTGGACCTCTGTTTTGTTTTGTTACTTGTAGTTCACAAATATAGTGTTATTCTCTACTTCTTGGTACATTTTGTAGTAATATGTTTAATATAATTACTCAAGAGACTATACTGACAGCCAGATAGTGTGGCAGTTCTGGATGAATTTATATCTTTTCACCACTTGAATATATTGCACTGTGTAGTGAGTTCCTGAGGTAGATTGTCTCCTTTTTTGTATAGATCATTAGGTTAGAGTTTTACCACTTCTATTTTTCATGTTACTATTGGAAGGTTAATTTGGAAATGGCATGGGTATAGGAATGAAAATGGGGCTATTTCCTTTTTTGCTGTCTTAATCGTATTTGGATGAAGATCCACTTTAAAATTTCCTTTCTTCCCCCTTAATTATCTTTTTACTACAGCTGCTTGCATATGGAGCAGTGTGATGAACACAGATTAAAAATTAAATGCCACAGCACGTAGAAATAATAACTGCAAAAGTAATAAATACAACCATTTGGGAATGCTGTTCTCCATCTAAAATATTAGCTTCACCATCAGGATCCCTATGAGGAGATTCCAGCTCAGTGTATCTGCTCAGTTTACAGTAAGAAACAACGAGGGTAAAAGAGGATTCATGCTCAGGGAATGAATCAGCCATAGCTAGAGTGGGAAATTGTGTTCTTCTTTTAAAGGTAGATTTGATGTTTATCTTTGTTTCCCTAGAATAAATTGCATAGACAGTATTGCCTATTTTATAAAAAAGATGTTTACCATCACTAATAACAGTCATTTTAGAGCCAGATTTAAGGAAGGGATATTGAAAGGGTCTTAGCTGGATTTGCTCGGGTAGCTCTATCCTATCATGTAGAAGAGACTTAGGTAGATAACTTTTTTCATCTGAAGTGAGTTCCAGTATGCAGTATCTGTTATTGGAAAAACTGCTGTTTCTTAATAAGATATCCAAGTGATTTTTTTTCTTGACTGCCAGGCCTATTAACAAGAAAATAAATCCACCAGCCATCTCCTCTCCTTATTAAAAAAACCCAATACAAACATATTATATGACAAGAAAAAGTAAAGTAAAAATACTGGCCGGGCCTTAGGTTGGTATGAGTGATTTTATGAGATAATATAGTGACAATTTTATTCTAGGATTTTTATTTTTGGCCTAATATAGGAATGTTACAAAAGGCTTTTCTATGAAAATTTAAAAGTTGTACTTGAAACTAAATATTTAGAAGGGGGAGAACCTTAAAGCTAAGTTAACATAAACCAGTGAGACAATGACTAATACAGGAGAGAACACTATTTTTTAACTGAGTGCCCAAGATACCAGTTTCCCTGAGGTCTTGATTTTTTTTATCTATAAATCACACATTATACACACACACACATATATGTGTGTGTGTATGTTTTTTAACAGTTTTTTTTTGTTTTGAGATAATTTTAGACCTCCTGAAGAGTTGCAAAAACAGCGGTTTCTCTATACTCTTCGCTCACCTTCCCTTTATATTAACATCTTACATAGCTGTAGAACATTTGTCAAGTTAAGAAATTAGCCTTGATATAATGCTATTAACTAAAGTAGAGAGTTTTGAAAGTAGGGATTTTCTAGTCTTTTCACTAATGTCCTTTCACTGTTTCAGGATCCAATCCAGGATCCTGCCTCGCATTTAGTTGTCATGTCATCATAGCGTCCTCCGATCTGTGACAGTGTATCTTGACACCTGATGCGGTAATGTATTTCTGGTGTTATTAACCTTAGCCACTACCTGAGGTGGCGTCTGCTAGGATTCTCTGCTGTAAACTTACTATGTTTTCCTTTGTAATGACTAAATGTTTGCTAGAGATAATGTGAGCTATGCAAATGTCCTGTTTCTGCTTAAACTTTTGCCCACTCATTTTTGTATCCACTGGCAGATCTTGCTTGTTACTACTGTGGTGTTCGAATGTGACTTTGTTTCTCTTATTCCTTCTACATGTATTAGTTGGATTCTTTCTGTAAGGGAGGGCTATTGCTTCTGGATTTATAATTTTAATTATAATAAGATATTCAGGGTAAGTACAGACTTAGAACTTAAAGGTGTAAACCATGCTAAAATGATTCCAAATGCCAATGTCAAGGAAAGGAAAACTAAATTGCAACCTGTGCCAGAAAATACAGTGAATATAAGAAGGAAGATAGTATTCATTTTTTGTGGATCTGATTCAGTTTTTGACTTAGTATTGACTCTTGACTGAATTCAATTTTTTTTTGGTATTTCACATCTGGACTTTTAAAAAGTGTCTAAGTTTAATATTACTTTGGGGATAATTTCTGTCAAAATCTTGAATAAAGTTATCCAGATCTGGCATGTTAAACACAGCTATGTTCTCTATAATAAGCCACTATTGTTCCAAATATAAACGCCAATGTAAATATTTAGATGAATTTAAGTCCCAATGAAGTATTAGCAAGATGGGCTGGTCTCTACATTGTTGGTGGGGAATTCTTTTAAGTGCTTTGAAAAATGGGGTTTTGAAAACAGTTTTGTAGTTGGTTAATGTAATACCATTAGAGGTGGGAAGATTTTTTTTTTAAGTTGAAGAATATGGATTAAATTGGCGTTAAAAAAAGTTTTTGGGGGGATGGATACTTGAGGACTGGAGTTTTTCATCTTTTTTTCTTTTTAAAAAAGTTATGAGTTTGAAGACTCAAATAATTCTATGGAAGTTAGCAGTTTAAAGAGTCAATTCTGGGACTTCCTGGTGGTCCAGTGGTTAAGACTTCACCTTCCAATGCAGGGGGTGTGGGTTTGACCCCGGGTCTGGGAGCTAAGATCCCACGTGCCTCGCGGCCAAAAAACCAAAACATAAAACGGAAGCAATATTGTAACAGATTCAGTAAAGACTTTATAAAAATGGTCCACATCAAAAAAAAAAAATCTTAAAAAAAAGTCAATTCTATGAAAAGGATCACTCTTCGGTTCCACTGCCATTTTTCCTTCTACAAAAGTAACTACTTTCAATTGAGTTTTTAAAAAAAATTATCTCCATATTTTTTAAATAACACAGTTGTATTGCTCCCTTTTGATTTATCAATTTTAGGTCATTTCTACTGATTTTCTGTTGTAGAGGATGAAGGTTAGGTCTCTCTGCCTCTACCATACACACATCCCAGCTCTGATCCCTCCAGTTTCTCAATCCACTTACATGGTAATTCTGTTGTACGTTATTATACTATGTAAATGCTGCCCAGAGCTCAGTCATGCAGTAAACTGCTTACTTTTCTTTTCCTGAACAACTCCTTGTTTTCTCCGGAATGAATCATTTGTCATACTTACTTTGTTTGCCTGTGTGCTTATGACTGATTTGACCTCAAACCCTCCATCATTTGTCTAAATCTTCTCTTAAGGTGCTCAGACATATTTTATCAATTTTAGGCTCGTGAAGACACGTTCCTGGAGCCCTCTGACTGCAGCACTTGTACGTTCCTGGTGCATACTTTCATTCTGGTGTCTTCTGTTCATCCTGGGGATTCTCTCCACCCCTTCTGTTGGATTCCTTTTTTCCATAGCCTGTGTCTTTCTCTTTCTGTTTATTCCCTCATTTTGGTAGAGCATGTTCCCCAGTAGCTTCCTGGAAAAGGGTGCATAGGAAGTAATTTTTTTCCATCTGGCATATTTAAAAATGTGTTTTCATGATCCTTTGTTTAAAACGTAGTGTTTCTTCCTGGAAGCTTGTAGGATATTTTTGTCCCCTCTACAGTACAGTGTTGGTGTGGGTCTGTTTTTGTCCACTTTGCTGGGCACATTTCGTTCTGGAAACTCCTGCCCTTAAGCCCTATAACATTTTCTTGAGTTTTGTTTGTTTGTTTCTTTTCCTCCTCTGCTACCCTAATCTCTGTTACATCTTTCTAGAATTCCTGCTGTTTGTTATAGATCTCTTAGACTGGTTCTTTGATTTACTTATCTTTTCACTTTCATTTTTTGCCTTTTTGCTGTACTTTGTGGGGGATTTACTCACCTTTATCTTCCAACTGCACTGAATTTTGTTTCATCTATCATATTTTTAGTTTCTAGGAATTTTTTTGTGCTCTGTGTTCTCTATGGGATTTTGCTCTTGTTTGTGGGTGTAGCATCTTATATCTCTGAGGATATTAATGATAATTTCTTGATTTTTTTTCTTCTCAAATAAATTTCCTACAAAGTTGCGTTTTCCTTTCTTTTTCAATCTCCATCTTTTTCATGTTAGAGATATTTTTCAG